GCTTGGATTTATTGGAAGAGGTGGAGTATCTTGTATTTGGTTAGAGAAATTAAATTTTTAGGTTATTGTTGAAAAAGCTAGTTCATTCCTCGGTGGAGTTCGCATCAAGGTGGAAATTATTAGAATTTGGGTGTTACCCAAATTCCTTGTTTGAAGTATTGAAAAATTCTAATTGTAGTGAATAGGAGGAAGAATTCAAGTTTGGAATTCAATTGGAGTCCGATATCAAGTTGAAGTTCTATTTTGGAAGCCCATTGGGATTTGAAATTGATATTAGGCCGTGTTTGATAGGCCACATTTTCTGGGGAAGTAGGAAAATATTTTCCACTTTACACTTTTTTGGTTGTTTGATAGGCGAAATTTTCCATGGAAAATATTTTCTGGATTTTCCTCACACGTGTGTAATTTCCGAGTTTTTGATGAAAATGTTTTCCCGACTTTTTGGTGGGAAAATATTTTCCTGGTTGGTTGGAAAATTTTTTTGGGCAATGAAAATAAATGTCATAACTAGTAGTAAAAAAAAAATTTCAAATTAATGGACAATTTTCATGTAAAATAAAGTCAAACGAACACTAAACTTTGATTAAAAAATGATATTTTAGGAAATAATTTTTTTTCCTTTTTTTTTTAATTTTTGGCAATGGAAACAAATTTTATAACCAATTGTGGAAAAAATATCACTTTAATGGATAATTTCCACATAAAATAAAGTCAAACGAATAAAAAATTTAAAAATTTTTCGAGTGGAAAATTATACCAATCAAACACACTTGAAATCATTTTCCCTACAAAACATTTTCTAGGCAAATCTTTTCCCTATAAAACATTTTTTTTCCACCTATTTTCCACCCTTACAATCAAACGCACCCTTAGTATTTGTCAAGTGCCCCTCGTATAAAATTCTGACACTTCACCCTGTACACATAGCACTTCTCAAAATACAACATATGTTATCATTTGCAAATCACAAATATCAATAAATTCTTGTTTACTTTCTATTGAAATGATCCATTGTAATAAATATATGTTTATAATGTCAAAAAGATCAATACTTGTAAACAAAAATTTATGTGGCAGTCGGGTAATTAACACAATCTCCAATAAAGTTGCAATGTATTTTAATTTACCGGAGAACATAACAAGATTAGTACCACAACCTCAAAAGTGTGATGACCATCATTTATTGAAAGTCGTAATATTGATTATCGTTAATGAAACTGAACAAAGTTACCATAGTTGAAATCAAACTAAAGTGTAATTTCCCAATTGAAATTACATTAAATTACAAGTACCTTATTGTAATCATAATAAAGTACAGTACCAATTGACGCTAGAATAAAATTATAGTTACCGCTAATATAATTTATTCTTATGTTAATTGTAATTTGACTATTTCATTAATTATGAGACAATAAAAAGATAAAATCAAAATCAAACATAGTGTTAGAGCTGCAAGTACCATGGTCTATGACATTTTAAAAAAAAAAAAAACTTAAGTTGATCGCCAACATTTGATTATTAACTTTTTTTCTAAGGTTGAGGTCTGACTTGTTATTTTATAAAGGGTGAGGATCAACTTGGTATTCGAGCAATATTTTGGGGACTATTGGAATAAAATTTGGCACGTGCCTATTTGTTAACTATCACTACTAAGCTCAAACTACATTAACTGCTTTTTGGTTATTCTTCCCGCCTTCCGTTGATCCAAACTGCAGTTTTCTCTCTACATTCTTGCGTACGCTCCAATTTTATGCATTCGATTGAATTGCAGTAACAAGAAATTGATATGGGGAATGAGAAGCCAAACATCGCTCCTCGCTGCAATTCCTCCCAGCCACTGTCGGGGGCGGAGGCGTCTCCTATAGAGGCCTTTGAAGGTGGCCTCAATCCCATACTGATGGACATAGAAAGCAGCGAAATTGCAGAATCCACTTCATCCTCCAATGATTCAATCAAGATCGAGTGCAAGAAAGCCCTCGCTGCTCAGCGCCAAGGGAACCACGAGAAAGCCCTACAGTTGATGAAGAATTTGTGCTTAAAACATGAGAATTCGGCCTTGGTTTACTATCTCATGGGGATTGTTTGTGTCAGGATAGCCTCGACTATTAACGACCCGAATGACAAACGGAAGTATTTCAAGAAGGCGTTAGAGAGTGCAAGGAAGTCGGTAACATTGTTACCGGATTCTTTTGAATTCATAATTCTTTATGCGAAATTGTTGTTTGAGACTGCAAATGAGGGGGACTATCAGGATGTGGAGCAGGAGTGCGAGAGGGCATTGGCAGTTGCATTCCAGTTTCGTCAGGAGCTTTCCAAACAAGAGGCTCGAGTTTTCCGGTTCCAAAATGAGGTACAGTCTTTGATTCAGAAATTAAGTACTGCAAGGGAATTCCATGAAAAGAATTCCACACCCAAGGCTGCAATTTACCCCGTGCAAAATGATGAAGGGTCTATGGTTCAGGATTTAAATACTGCAACTGAGTGGCATGAGAAGATTTCCACACCCAAGGCTGCTATTGACCTCGTGCAAAATGAAGAAGGGTCTTCGATTCCTAAGTCTAACATTGCATCCATTTCGACTGGGATGAAGAATCTGGGCAATGAAGAGGAGAAGTTGCCAATGAGGGTCCATGAGGACTCAATGGAAATGACATCAGTATCTAAAATAGGACCGAAGCAAAATGATGAAGGGTCTATGCTTCAGGATTTAAATACTGCAACTGAGTGCCATGAGAAGATTTCGACACCCAAGGCTGCTATTGAACCCGTGCAAAATGAAGAAGGGTCTTTGATTCCAAAGTCTAACATTGCATCCATTTCGACTGGGATGAAGAATCTAGGCAATGAAGAGGAGAAGTTGCCAATGAGGGTCCATGAGGACCCAATAGAAATGACATCAGTATCTAAAATAGGGCCGAATGAGATCAAAAAAGCTACTGAGGCCCCTGAGGATGTTCGGAGAGAGCTAATGGTGTTGAAGACGGCTGTTGCTCTGCTTCTGGACAGTAATAATATTGATGGTAATAAGGGGTTGGATTCTGGTTTAGGGATGGGGAAGAAAGTGAAAGAAAGAAGGAAAAGTAAGAATACGAGGAGAAACATTTATTCGGCTGAGATAAGGGACTTTGTTCGGTCTTATTGGAACTCATTGGATTTGGATAAGAAGAAAGAGTTGCTTAAAGTTAGGATTTCGGATCTCGAGACACATTATAGTTTGTCAAAGGAAGGATCATTGAGTAAGCTGCTTGATGAAGCTTTATCTTTTGGGAAAGACAATAGAGTGTGGAAGTTTTGGTTGTGCTGTAGCTGCAATGCAAAGTTTGCTGATGCAGATTCACATAGGCAGCATGTTAAAAAGGAGCATATGAGGACTTTGTTACCAAAATTTCAATCTATTATACCCGAGAGAGTGGATAATAAGTGGACTGAGATGCTTCTTAGTTGTTCTTGGAAACCATTGGATGTACAGGGTGCAATCAAAATGCTTGAAGAACTGTCAAAATTTGAGGAACCTAATTTTCTTGATGAGTCAAACCCAAGAAACAACAAAGATGATTCCAGTGAATGCTTTGTGGACCCTCACTTCAATGAATATGAAGAAGATTCATCACCTGACAAGAGCAAATTGGGCGATAACTGCTGTGGTAGAACACGGGAGTTAGAAAATGTTAAGTGGATGGATAGCGGTGAAGATCTGGACCGTAAGAAAAGTTTCCTTTACCAAAGCTGGCCTTCAACTGAAGACTCAGAATGTGCATACCTTCTGGAAATAATCCATGTCACGTTTGATCTATTTATCAAACTCAACTATCTTGCCTCAAGTCATCTTAGCATGGTTATACATTTTGCCGTTCAAAAGCTGCAGGGACTTGCTGATGGTTCTCACCTTTTTAACTTTAATATGGACCAAACACCTCTGTGTATCTGCTTTCTGGGTGCTCCCGATCTTCGGAAAATTGTTTTTTATTTGAAAATGATTTTTCATGGCATTTTTTCTAGTGAAACTGATAAATATTCTGATAAAATTAATTCGATGGATGATTCAATCAGTTGCACTCAAGTTGTTGACACTATGGAAAAGATAACTTTCGCTCTAGATGATTTGGTTTTGGTACTTGAGAGTTTCCTGACCTGGAAGCGCAATTCTCCATTTTGTGCTGATGCTGGTAATGATGATTCTAGTTCAGCAACTTCACTGTGCGTCTCCTATGAGAACAACGATGTTGTGATTGATTCAGATGCATTACTTTCCTGGATATTTTCAGGCCCCCCTAGTGGGGAACTATTGTTATCCTGGACATGTGCAAGGGAAGAGAAAGCACAACAAGGTAAGGAAATTCTTGAGTTTCATGAGAAGGAATTTTACGACCTCCAGGGCTTATGTGAGAAAAAATGTGAGGGTTTAAATAATGAGAAGGCGTTGCAGGCTTTGAACGATCTCTGTTGCAAAGAGAGAATTAAAAGAGAGCATGCTGTCCCCCAAAGTTATGACTCCGTCCTCAGGAAGAGACGAGAAGATCTCATTGGAAGTGATGATGGAATTACCTCTATCAGCAGTGGGTTTGAACTGGATGTTATAGAAAATATTTTGAAGGATGTAGAATCTGGTAAAGTTGACGATGGGAGAACAAAAGACTATTTGCATCAGGTGGACTCCTGCATAGAAGTTTCAATAGAGAGACAGAAAGAAAAAGCGTCTGTTGAGGTTGGTTTGTTATTTCTATCCTTTTATCCTTTTGTTATTAGGACAAAACTATGTCTAAATTTTTCTAATCTTTCTTGTTTTTACAGATCTGTAATACTGATGCAAAGATTTTGCGAGTTCTTGATTGGATGCTGCAGTTGGAAGTTAAGCTTGACTCTGCGTCTGCTCATGATTTCAGATCAATTTTGGTGCCTCTAGTGAAATCATATTTGCGAGTTAGTATATGGCACTGTGCCTTCTTGTAAATATCCCCTTAACTTTTCTTGCTCCCTTTTACAGTTGAACTAGAGGTTCTCTTGTTCACCTTTTCCAGGCACATTTGGAGGATCTGGCAGAGAAAGAGGCCACAAGGAAATCTGATGCTGCCAGAGAAGCACTTTTATCTGAACTTACAGTTGATTCTGAACAGGGTTTTGGTGGAGGGGATAATTCAAGACATATGCATAAGAGGATGAAGGATAAGAAAAAGGGCAAGAAGAGTAGGAGAAACAAGGATTCAAAGGTTTAAACTGCGTGAAAATTCTATTGGTTATTTAGTGTAGATAAGAACCATATGCCACAGTCATCATTTAGAGAAATTTTTGGGAAGCGTTTATAAATGGTTGAAGTTATAAATAGGTAGAAATGAGTGGAGGATAAAGTGGTAGTACTATGGATCCCTCGAAATGTGTAAATAAAAAGTGACTTGAGTATTTATAGATAGTATATAAACATGAGAAAAACATTTGTTTACTCTGATTATTATTTTTACAGGCCATTGATGACAATCAGCTGCATAGGATTTGCAGTCAATCATCTGAAGAGATGTATGTCTCTCTTTTACCAGAAAGCCTATCCAGGTGCATGTTTTCCGTTTAATTCATCTAAATGCATTTGAATAATATATTGTATGCCTGATATCACTGCAGATCACAGGTAAGTGCTCTGGATGGGGATGATCATGATGCTGCAATTTCTTTTGCTGGGACTGGTGTTGCTCTAACACAACTGGAAGAATATAAACAAAGAATCAAACTTGAATTTGAGGAAATAAAGCCTGAAGAAACTTTGGAATATGAAAGAGAAACTGAAAATGAGGCAAAACAGAAGCATCACATCGAGCAACCTGTGTCTTCAGAAAAAGAAATTGATGAAGTTGGTCAACTGAGATCTAAGCACACTCCCGATTGGGACGGAGGTACATACATTACTTCAATCCAACTAATGGTTTTATCCCAATTTGATTTTTGCAGGTTGTTTTTTTTTTTTTTTGTGATTTTTATTTACCTAAAATTCAAGTATTGATCAGTGAAACCATAACACAACAGATAGAACTAAAAACATTCGAAAATCACAGGATTCTGTTCAGATCGTCCTATTTAATATTCAAAGGCTGAATTATATAGATTAATTATATAGACTTTGTGCAATGAACAACTAATTTTTTAATCTATTAGGTTTATGTTTATAACGTAATTAGGTTTGAACAAAAAAATATTTCATAACAGAAATAGGAAAAACATTCATCTTATCACGTGTGGGAAATGTATAAAGACAAAACTCCGAAACATTTAACAATTCTAGAATATTTCGAAACTAAGGAAAGAATACAAAATATAATTCAGAAACGTAGATTTATGTTTCCTTGAGCAGATGAAGTTGCTTTGTTTATTTTCTCAACACTGTATTCAATATTTTACATCAGACACCTACCATGCATATTGAATATTGCCTTTGATGTGGACTTCAGCATTGCAACAAAAGAAGCTTCTGGAAATGGGTGACTTGGACTATTCATCACATGAAGTCATAGCTGATGGTATTAATGTAATAGATGCATTCCCTGGTCTGAAAAACGATCTTGGTGAATATAATTGCTTTCTCAATGTCATAATACAGGTTGGTATTAGAGAAAATGCTTTTCTTCGTTGTTTCCAAAGATTTTTCTTCCTCTGTTTATTGTTTTCTTTTCTAGCAATAATTTTCCTTGGGCCTAGGATATTGAATCATTTTTGGAATTCAGTCCTTATGGCACTTGAGACGGTTTCGAGATGAAATTTTGAGATCATCATCTGGACATGGTCATGTCGGCGATCCTTGTGTTACATGTGCTTTGTATGATATCTTCATTTCTCTGAGCAAGCCACCTAAAGATACTCGAAGAGAAGCTGTCGCTCCTACATCGTTGAGGGTTGCTCTGAGCAACCTGTATCCTGATAAGAAATTCTTCCAGGAGGTAAATCGCACAACTTCTGCCTTGATTTTTCTTCAATTTTAGTTAACAGCTCATTTCTTCATTTTCTCAACATATTGTAATCCAAATTATTTCTAAATTCCTGATTAATATTTCTGCAAATTTTCAGGGACAGATGAATGATGCTTCTGAAGTACTAGGGGTAATATTTGATTGCCTTCATCAATCATTCCCTTGCGAACCTGTTGTACAGGTGGGCGCCTTGGAATGTGTGGGTTTATCATGTATTGCACATTCTCTTTTTGGAATGGACATACTCGAAAGAATGAAATGTGACGATTGTGGTTTGGAGTCTAGACATCAAAAGTACAAATCATTTTTTCATAATATCAATGCCTGTGCTCTCAGAATAATGAAGGCATGTCTTTTTAGACGATAGTTTTTTAACTAATGGTTCTAGTTGCTTGATTCATGAAATGTCAACGCTAAAACATATTTGTCTTTACCACTTTAGGACATGTGCCCAAAAACCTCCTTTGATGAGCTTTTATACGTAGTCGAGGTTATTCACCAGTTACCTTGTGATCCAGAGGTTGGCGGCTGTGGAAAGCTCAACTATATTCAACTTGTTCTCTCAGCTCAACCCTATTTTTTTACAACTGGTGAACTTCCTGTTACATTTTATCTTTATCTATTCATTTCTTTAACTGTGTGTGTGCTTGAATGGATCTGTGTGTAGTAAACTGATCACCACTCTACTTGGATCGCATGAGATTCTGAATTTGATACATGGCTTTTCATTTGGTAGTTCTGGGTTGGCAGAATTCTTGTGAAAGTGTTGATGACATAACGGAAACATTAGCAACCTTGACTACTGACATTAATATCAGTTTGCTTTATCGTGGTCTTGACCGAAAAAGCAAACATTGCTTGGTTTCCATGGTAAGCTTCCTCAATTCTTTTTCTATGTAATTTATGTTTTCGATTTTTTTCTTTTATAATACTTTCCAAGTGAGGTAGGGCCTTTCTTGTTGTGCATTAGAGGTCATCTTTAAAGCAGTCTATTGGTTTGAACTGACTCAGAGAAGGAAAAATTGTAAATCACTATGCAATGCATAGCTATCTTTGTAGGCACTGATATCGGTTTTCCTGAAAGCACAAGGACATCAAATAAAAGATCAATGGCCTGGTTGTTCAAATTTCGAGTACAAGCCACTCATCATTTGTTTCAGTTAGCTTCACGGTTTTTGGGGTGGCTGCCATATTTTATAAATCAAACAACCCAATGGTTTCTTCTGTTTGCCTTCTTTTTTCAGAGTTACAAGAAGATGGTTAGAAACTAGTATATTTAAATGATTTTTGGGATAAAAGGAAAATAAAGCTTTCTTCCAAGAGTAACAATTTGAGTTAGTGTCACCTTATGAACATTTTGTTATTCAACTACTAATACCCGTATTGTAGGGCAAGCATTTTAACTCAATGTAGAGTTTATGATCACATAAAATTCAGGCCTCCTAATATCATATTTTGTCCTCTTTAGTCAAACCTAAACACTAAGAACATTGACCTTTAGAGCAACACAGTTCTTTACATGTGTCATCTTATTTCCGAACACAGATTTGCCTGATTCTTTTTCTCGTTTCAACTCCCGTCATATTTAGGTTTGCTTTTATGGGCAGCATTATTGCTGTTTTGCTTACAAGCACGAACATAGAAAGTGGATCATGTATGATGAAGAAACTGTAAAGGTAAAATTGTCTTCTGTTGTCGTGTATTCATTCGTTTTCTTGTTTGTAGTTTTATCTACAATTAGTATGTGATATCTAGGAAATTGGAGGCTGGAATGATGTTCTTACCATCTGCGAAAGAGGACACCTGCAACCACAGGTCCTCCTTTTTGAAGCTGTAAGCTAGTACTTCAAACAGATTTGAATTGTTCACTGAAGATATGCAGTCGAGCACCGGCAGTTTGAAAGTGATATCTGTCTCTGCAGGTTTGTTAGCTAATATTGCAACTAAACATTCTGATGTTAATGAATGCCAGAATTGTACATAAAGTTTGGGAGTTTTGTTGCATAACGAAGAGAAATAGGAGCAATTGCGTGTAAGAAAGGAGCAAGGTTTGTGAAGTGGCTCAACCAAAGATGGGGAAAAATAGAAATGAGTTTTGGTACTCCAAGTCACGGAGGCTCTCAGCATCTGTGCTGTTCTGAGATCTAAACTTCCTAATGGAAATTAGCACCTACAATCGATGGATAGATATACTAAAATTGTACGCAGGATATTCTTGTACATAGATAGAGATTCTTTCATTGTTTTTTAGGGGAAATAATGTATAAATCTGATGAACTCCTCCTCTTCTGCTATCTTCCGACTTTGTTGATGAAGAAGTTGTGTAGAAATCACTACTACACAAGATGAATAGGTGCCAAGGAGGGTGCCAAGGGGGAAATCGCCTAGGTTACAGTTGGGCTTTGCGATTTTTTCATTCTAATTCATTTTTCAAATGGATCTCAATCAATTAATTAAGTAATAAATAAAAAATAGATTAGTGGAATATTTAACCGTTCCTTCTAACAAATTAAGTAATTAATAAAAATTTAGAAATTTAATTTTTCAAATTTTCGTTTATAAATTTTTTTATTTTTTTGCAAAATGATGGTAATTTAAACGATATGTTCTTTCTAAATTAAAAAAAAAAAAAAATAGATTGGTGGAATATTTAACTTTTCCTTCCAGCAAATTAAGTAATTAATAAAAAAAAACTAGAAATTTAATAATTCAAATTTTCGTTTATAATTTTTTTTTATATATTTCTGATATTTTTTTTTTCAAAATTATGGTAATTTAAAAAATAGACTCTCTTTTTTTATTACGATAACAAATCAACTAATATTAATTTTTCTTAAATCAGATGTTTAAGAATTTAATTAATTCAAAAAAAATCATAATTTCATTTATATTTTTTTACAACCTAATACTACCACATTAATGCATCAAATAACTACATGTCATGTGTGTGCCATATAGGGCGACTGCTGCAGTGAGCGATTGCAAGTAGCATTACTCTTTAATAAATGGAACCGTCGAATCCTAATATAATTATGGAACCGTTCGAGTTCGGTTCCATTTGGTTCCGTGTCATAATTAATTTTTTTAACAGACTCTAATGGTCAACGATCAGTGATCGTGGTTGGAGGTCAAGGCTTCGATGGGCAGTTGGAGAGGGAAAGTAGGACTCGACAGTCAGCGGTTTCGATTTGGGCATGTAGATGTAGGTTTTCAATTTATCAAATGATTTGGGGTCAGTGACTCAGTGGTTACCAAATGAAAGTGTAAAATTGGAAAGAGAATGATAAAAGCTTAAAAATGTCTTGATCTTGGGTTAAGAATGAAATTAATAATAGAACCAAAAAATTAAATTAAAAAATTGAATTTAGAAATTGGGTTGGTTGGGTTGGGCTAGTTAGGCATGGACTTGACTTGGGAGTTAGAACATTAATCACTAAATTAGCTAATTTGCTAATTTGTTTAGAAAAAAATAAAAAAATTAATTAATTCAATATAAAAAATTAAAAAAATTATTTAAATTCGATTCTTCGATTTTGGGTCTAGAACCGAGAACTAAATCGACCCCGTCGGTTCTCGATTCAGATATCTGTTCGAGTATTTAACTTATGAAGAACCGCTCGATTCGGTTCGGGAGTTTTGTCCAATCCTACTTGAGGCTCCACCCAGCAACGGTCAGTCTTGCTACCTTTATCTATGAGCGACTGCCATCTAACCAGAATTTTATTGTGTCAGAATTTCCCTTTCTCCTTTGTGAGTGACTTCGTCATCTAGAGATTTCCCAATATCTCATATGGCAAGGCCTCTATTAGTTCTCATATGAATTTCTTAATCTAGGGAACCTACAAAATCGATTCGCGTACACAATATCTTTAAAAAAATTATTTTTATTTTGGAGTGACTTGATGATTTTTGCAAGTTTGTGAATGTTTTTTATTTCTCAAAATGCAATTTCAATTATAGAAGTTATGAATTTTGTCCTAATAAATATGTATCCATTTCATAATGGATCGTTATCAAATATCATACACAAACACTATTACAATAAAATAATTGTCCAAAATTGTGCTTTATCATAAGCCTTATGAGTAAATCTAACATAATTATACTAATTTGCACAACATATCATAACATCAATTCATTTGAAAAAAAAAAAAAAGGACAAATAAATGTAAATAGAAATGGAATGTAAAAGAGTTTGGAGAAGAGAGTTTTGACAAGTTGAGACGTGTACAAAGAGATAGTTGAAGATATGGTAGTAACACAATACGATTTGGTTCAAGAGAGAACTCGTCTCCGCAATAAGGACTACGAACAGAAAATGTATAGATGCAAATAAGTTAAAATTAGGCGATTCTCAAGTTTTGTCCTCCAATTTTACCCCATATTAATTTTCATCTTTAATTTAAAAAATATGTGTTGAATGACATCCTTGATCTCTCGTAATATATTTAAGTTTCAATATAAGAGTTAGAATTGTTCAAAAATATTTACATTTTTGAAAATGATAAATATATGTTATATCGTCTGGAGTCGTGAAACTCAAAGGGGTCACAAATTAAAACTAGCTAACAATGTTTGTGCCCAAATTATATATTTGACAAAACTTTGAAGAAGTTTGCGGAAGACTTTAAAAATATAGAGAGACATTTTTTTGTTGGAGTATTATAGAATAAAGAAAACACATCTATAAAAAATAATCTAGATAAAACATATTATCTATAAAATAGAATCAATCTCCATTGTCCATATAAAGGATGCGAAATTATAAAATGTCCAAAAGGCCTCATTGATAACTAGGGTAAGTGGGTAACGCTACTAAAAGTAAGAGTTTATGCCCCCACTAAACCAACTTTTTGGCTCTGGCCTTGCTTATTGTAATACTTTATTTTTCAATTTTCATTGAACTTGGATATTCTTCCAATGTCGTGTTCCTCTTCCTTCCATTATAATATGTAACTGAATTCTTCTTGTGATGTTCCCATTGGGCATCAAAATTCTCCCATTGCAAAATTTCGCATTTCCTTTCAAGTTCATACAACCGTATCAAGGTTTTCAACATTTTATACAAATGACACTTTTCAAGAACTTACCGTTTTATAGATAATAGATGTTTCCAAATTGATTTTCCAACACCAAATATGAAGAGCTTTATAGGCAATATAATATCTGTTGTTTATCTTTATTCTTATCTTACTAAAAGATTAGATGAGATAAAAATTGTAATGTACATAACCCCTTTTTTACCTATACATAATCATCTTATGTCATATTCACTGAAGTGCCAATTTGAATTGATACATTTGTCTGCAAAGGTTAAAAAAATGAATTATAAGTAAATAAATTTGAAATATTGTTAGAAATAAATTAATTTTAAGTTTAGACAAACGTTTGGTAAAAAAACAGGGATACTAACATTTGTCTACAACGGTCATGGACTTTAAAGAAACATCCCCAACATTTTTGCCTCTCTCTTCAATTTCATTTTTACTCCTCTTTAAATGTTTTGAATAATGACCGGCCAAGCTTGCGCAGCGTGCAAGTATCAAAGGAGATTGCACCATTCTTCCCAACTAATCAACCCAAAATATTTCAAAATGCACACAATTTTTTTTTTTTTTTTGGGTAAGTAATATATGAAAAATACTAAAACAGCTCAACCCTAGTCAGAAAGTTATAGCCATGAAATCTATCAAATATCAAGCCAATGTGCATGATATATATCGTGTCTATGGATGTTTGGTGGAAATACTACAACTCTCTTACCAAATTCAAATGGTTGAAGGGAATTCCAGGCTATTCTTGGACAACTCAATTATTACAGACAATGACATCAACAACAAGGAATCTCATTGGCTAATGATTCACTATTGCAGTTACAATTAGGCATGGCGCATCATGGTAATGCAGCCATGCCTAGACAGTTATTCATCAAAATAATCCTCCACGGTATGATGTTGTGATAACATTGCCTATTGTACCAAATAATTGCAACGCGGGTTATTATTTGGAGGTCAAGGAAAATAATGTTGTCAATTCTTTGTAGATTCAACAACCGTATAGTAATGGAAACAATGCCAATCACAGTTGAGTAATGCACTGCCACTACCTGTCCTATCCAACAAGAGGCAACTCAAAATTATGACGAAATATATCCATTTTTGACACTATAGATGACAAACAATCCCATATGGATTCCAAGGAAATGTGTGAGTCAAGGTACCGTTATTATTACACTAACAATGTATTTTATTTTTTTAATTTTTTTTCCATTTTTGACACTATAGATGACAAACAATCCTATATGGATTCCAAGGAAATGTGTGAGTCAAGGTACCGTTATTATTACACTAACAATGTATTTTATTTTTTTAATTTTTTTTTCAGTTTCTTGGTAGGCAGATCGATCTTAACTCGAATTTACACACAATTCAACTCTTTTGATGGAATCCCATATCTACATTTAAAATTTGAACAACGTGCTTGGAATCATCATTGAAAGATAAACGACAATCCGTCGAGTACATGACCGAGAATGAACTGAAGAGTGTTGCAGCATGTTTTAGCCTTACCAGTGTCAACTGATAAAGGAAACAAATTGAAGTAGACACTGCTTACTAGTAGTGGGATTTTGTCTGTTGTGATCCAATTTGTTTAATTTTTCATATAGAATTTACCTTTTGTTTTCGTGAGTCGAACAAATTATTATTGGTCCATTCACTAATTTGACATCGTGATATCTCTAATTTTTCAACAAATGTGTGCTAATGTATAAAAATTGGATCTTATTGAAAATTTGATACACCAATAAAATTCATAAAACATAGACGAAATTTTAGCTTGATTTGGGCTCAAAACCGTAAGAAAGGAAGGGAAATTATAAAAAATCAGGTATTTAAAGATTAGAGTGCAAAAATCAGGTATTGATTTAAAAATTAAATATTATTCCCACCCTACCCAATCCCAAACCCTAAATCATTTTTCATCACCCTCTCATTCTCTCCTCGTCTCTCTCTACCTCGCCTTTCTCTACCCTCTCCATTTTCTTTAGATCATCGTCGCCCTTGAGGAGCTCCCATCGCCGGAGAGTCGAACAGTGGCTTCATCGCTGCTGTGCTGCATCCTCGAGGAGTCCCCTCCCACTCCAAATCTCTCCCTCGTCTCTCTGCGTCCGACGTTGTCGGTAACAGCGGCGTTTGCAGGGTGTGTGTCGTTCAGTGGGTGTCGTTCGCGGGGTGTGTACCTTTCGTTGCTGCTGGCTGTCGTTCAGTAGGTGTGTGCAGCTAGTAGGTGGATGTGTGTGCTGTGAACGGCAGCCAGCAGAGTGGATGTGGTGTTTGACTGCAGATGTGGTGGAGGTGGGTGTGCTGTGGGTGCGGTGGTATTAAAGGTTCAAATCTAGTTTGATGGTGGTGCTGATAGTGGTGATGTTGTATTCGTGGTGTTGTATTGTTATTGTTGGTGGTGGTGGTGGTTGTGTGGTGGCGTCTGTGGTGGTATATCGGCGGTGGGATGGTGGCCGTGCTTTGTTTGGTGGCTGTGGGTGGTGGCGGTGTTTTGTGTGGTGGCGGCTGAAGTAGTGCCGTGGTATGTGACCAAGTATTTGGTTATCTGTGACCAAGTATTTATTTAACTGTGGCCTAAAAATTTGACAACATGTAAGAAAAATAATCCGTGACCAACAAATTTGAAAATATGTGATCAATGAAATTAACCATTTTTTTATCTGTGACCAATTAATTTGGAAATCTGTGACTGTGTGACCTATAAATTTTGATTTGTGACCAAGTAATTTTGAAATCTGTGACCAACGAATTAATTGTGACCTATAAAATTTTTGAATTGTGATCTAAAATTATAAATCTGTGACCAAAATGGTGATCGGAATCGGAGCAAATGTCGGAGAAGAGTGGTGGTCGGAATGGTCGTCGGAATAATCCCCGTAACGATATGGATGGTGCATGTGGGATGGGTTATTATATTATATTATAATTAAATATTTAATAATTTATTATTTCATAAATGAAAAAAAAAAAATTGATGTTTGACTTTTTAAACTATAAATTTGATTTTTAAATTGGTGTAAAATATACACATTATATATGAATTTTTCCAATAAAGGAAACAATCCCAACAAATAGAATCCGGTACCCGGCTACACGCAGTTCCCAAATAATGATTATAAATAAATAACTACTCTTTCATCTTCCCCAAGTCGCATAAGCCTCTACGAACCTCCCAAATCAAATTTCAGTTAGAACAGAGAGCAAGCTACGACACCGTTTTCGACACGAAACTGTAAGAAGGAAGTGAAGAAAATTGTTAACGAATTAAAAAGAACGACAAGATGGCAAAGACTACGAAGGGAGGCAAAACTATGAACCCTACCGACGCTTATCGGAAGGAGCTCCGAAAAAGGGAATTAAAAAGGGTATCCACCTGTTGAATTTTAATTATTTTATCCTAGTTTCTCCACTGTGGCATGTGATTTTATAATTTGGATAAAAGTTACTTTTTATTTGATGTTTCGTGGAGCTGTTTGATCAAATTTCTCTTTCTTCCGCTTTTTTAATCTCTCTCTCTAGGAAAGAAGTTCAATTGAGCATGTGAGGAATTGGTCGACTTTACTAGGATTCATTAGTCTCTTTTTTTTTTTTGGCTAATTTGTGGCTGTTTATGAATTTCTTAATAAGTTGCAAATAACATTGATTGTGTCTGGTTGTTTAATTTAGTTAGTTAATACGAAACATGATTGTGCATTGTAATTCTGAGATTTTCGTTGATCTTGTAATGCAGAATAAAAAAGAGAGGAAGAAGGTGAGGGAAGTTGGCATTTTGAAGAAAGATCCTGAGACCTTAAAAGACCAGATTCAGAAGCTGGAAGCTATGAGTAAGTGCCAAATAATCTTGACATGAGTCTAATTATATGTTATTTATGATTCAATGTCTTGTTATTGAAAATTAATTGGAATCTTTGTATTCTGGTGTGATTCATAGAAAATAAAAATTCAATAATGGAAACGAAATTTTTAACATAAAAATATTTTATTGCTAGCTAAAGAATGTCTGAAATCATTAAATGGATGGATTTTATTCATTGCTGTCATTAGGATGACAAGGGTAGCTTCTAGCATTGCAAATTTCTATCAATGAACCATGAATCTTATGGTCAGAATATTTGCTCTTTCCATGACACGGTAGAACTTAGAGGTTGATGTAGTGTTACTCTGTTGAGGTAGCTGTCATTTTGATTCTGAAGCACTTCAGCAGCTGCTGCATTTTACTGTTTTTTTCCTAGGTATTGGGTAGTTTAATCTCAAATTTTTCTGTCTGTCTTGCCCTTTATTTATTAGTGAAGTGATTAATTTTGAATATGATTTCTGACTACTATTTAATTTTTAATCGCAATATAGATTTTTGAAGATCGTTAATATTTATTACTGATTGGTACATTCCAATATCTCAATCCATGCTTTATGAACATGGGGATATGTAGCTGTTCTCATTTACACTGAAGCTGGAGTGATTGTATATTGTCCATGTTTAAGACTTTAAGCTATTTTGAAAATACGTTGAAAGACTTCCCTACTCCAACCTTGTTGTCTTAGCTTATGTTGAACTGCTCTGACATTTTTGGTAGTTGAAGCTCACCCAAACACAAAATATCTTTTGACTTGTTTGAGTAGTTTCTTGCAGCAGAGTTTTTGTTTTGCTTGTTGGGAAAGTAAAAGCAGCTGGTTGCCTGATAGTTTTATTTGTGCCAGTTTGCGTGAATTAGAGATCTTGTGCTTCTTGCTTTGTGACAGTTTTCTCTTAACCTTTTCTTTTAGAGTCTTACGTAATACTGCTGTTGATTCTTAAGAGGATTTTGTAACCCCTTTTTCTTGATAAGGACTGCATTGAAGATAATCATAACGAAATCTCATTAAACTAAGTATTGTGTGTAACTTGGAAACTGAAAGAGAACAAGAAAATATGGACCAAACCTTATCTTGTTTGTTTACAAAGAAAAGTGCTAGGAAAAAATGAATATAAGGATGGGAGATAGTTCAGAATGTATTCCAAGTCTATAATAATAGGAAGAAAATGTGACTTTATTACTTGAGTTTGCAATTTTGGAGGTGATACGAATTGAGGATAAACTAATGGAAGGACAACTTAATTGGTTGGGACATATTGTGCGAACTTAAAGAGACGCTTGTTAATAAGTGTAGAGTGACCAGTAGACCAGGTTAAGGGGGGGAGGGATAGGCCATAATGACATGGTGTGTTGTGGTTGCTAAGGATTTATTTGCTTTCTATCTTCCAGTAGATGTAGCAATGTACTGAAGAGATTAGCAAAAGCCAAAAAAGATTCACGAAATCGACACAATTTATTCTGAATAAGACAGCGTGAACCGTCGTACCTCTTATTTTGAATCCTGGATAATGTTTCTTGAAATTATGGTGATATATTTGTTCGCTGACAATCAGTTTCCATTCCGTTTAATATCATTTCTTGTTTGTAGTTTTGCAACCAAAGCATCTCAATAATGTTTGCATGAGACTGATCTTACGACACACTATTCTGTATGCAATTCTCTGCTTAAATATCGTGTGCTTTGCTCCATACTACGTATGCCTCTGTATGTTACATATTGGTCAATTTAGAATGCAAGAAGGTGCTTTCATTTTCTTTTCTTCCTTTTTCTCTCCTCTCCCTTTTGTGGGGTGGGGGAGGTAGAGTTGTGATTCGTTGATATGTTATTTTCATTGAGAAGGAAAATTTGCTATCTTACTAGTGTGTGCTTTTTGTTAATTTTGCAGAGGCTGATGGTGCTTTGGACAAAGCAAGAAAACACAAGAAGAGACAACTTGAGGATACACTGAATCTTGTTATCAAGAAAAGGAAGGTAATGTCGAAGTTCTAGACTTCGTGTATGTATTGGAACATTGTTCTCATCTAAGAGGAAATTCTATTTAACTATTTTCATTTTTATAGAATGATCGGTTATTCATGAGTTTGTGCAACCCTGAAGACTTTAAAACGAGCAGTATACCTTTTGGTTCGTAGCCTGAGTTTATTGCCACTTCCTTTTTAATAGGTTTTCTTCCTTTTTGTTTGCTCTGCATTTTTGCTATTATAGTTGCTTGTTTATTTATTTATTTATGTTCTGACGGTGGGGTGGGAAAGAGATAGACATAAAGAGTATAACCTAGCATAATAACGCTGCTATGGTATTGTCTAAATGCAACAGGTTGTTTTTTGGTAGTATGTTTGAATTTCAACAGACTTTGATGATTGCACAGATGTCGATGGCATTTTTCTTTCAGTGAGATTGATATTTTGTATTAAATAGACTCACATTGTTCTTCACATTTGAATGAAATCTCTTCACTACTGCTTTGCCATTTTGACGTCATTGGACAGCTTAATGCCACTGTAAAATTAGTTTCACATATTTTTCAAAGTGTACACATTTAGAGATTTAGCTAAATGTATTGAAGTAAAAGAATTTGTAATTTAGGACATGTAAATATGAGCATACCCCCACTCTAATATGTTACTATACATATTGAGGTATATATTGAGGCCAGGCTCCACTCTAGTTGGGTATCCAGCTCGTCCCATTTCTCCCTAAAGAAGTCGATAAAGGCTTCTTGAGGATTGTAGTAAGCCTACGGGTTAGTGTGAGCTTATCCATGTGGTTATGCACTCTTCGAAAACCAAGTTCGGGATGGATTTGTGTGGTTCCTTTACGCCTAGAACACCTGAATATTGAACCATGATCGAAGAAATGCATGAGAGGATGAGTTGATTGTGCTATACATTTTCTTCATTCGTTCATTGATCATGGTCATCATTATTATTAATATGTTGGCTTCTATAGTGTTATAACAACACTCACATTATTACTATGTTACCGTAACTATTATCTCATATTTTAGTTTGATAGAATATAATTTTTTCTAATTTTGGGGGAGATGGTTATCTTTATTTTCTTGGGATACCATTCAAATTAATGGTGGTCTTTTGGTTTCTAATCCTTGTCATCATTTACTTATGTATTAACACTGAGAATTTTTTATTTATTTTTATACGTGTGTATGGGGTGGGGGGTTGAAATGTTCCTGGCGATTGCTGATTAGTTTTACTATTCTAGTTTATTTTTATGATTTTTTTGCTATATTTTACTATTGTTTATCTTCTTTTACTTTTATTATTATGTTGCTGTAATTGAATCTATTGAGCTATTCAATTCTATTTTATTTTTTATTTTGCATGGAGCACTTGATAAACATGTTCTTTGTTGGTATGATGCTAACTCTTTCCATCAGTAATAGTTGCTATGTCAGGAAAGTGAATTAAATGTGACCAACGGTATACTATAACCTTGTTGGGCAGGAATACGAAAATAAACTGAAGGAAAAAGGTGAAGCACCGGTTATGTTCAGGTGAAGAAGTTGCCCTGTGTTCTCCTTCAAATTCTTTCACTTTTTAATTGTACGGTGTAAATATATATGTTTTGTACCTTTAGTTTAAAATTCCGATGCTATTCTCTTTCTGCAGTCATTTGGGGCCTGTTCAAAGGCGGACTACTGCGGAAGAGGAAGAAAGAGTTAAGCATCCTAGACCTGAAGTAAGTTCTTCTTAACTTCTACACTTTCTAAATTGAGCCTTTCTGCTGGTCTGTGAACCCACATTTAGCAATATATTGATGCAGGACTCAGTCTACTATCACCCAACTTTGAATCCTTCTGGAGCTCCACCACCCGGGAAACCTCCTATGTTCAAATCATCAATAGGTGTGTTCGGTTCTATTTCATATTTATGCCACCATAATTATCTCTATTTTCCTATGTTTTCAAAAGTGGACTAGAGGACTGGCCAGTTCGGCCGGGAAAACCAAGGGCTGGCCGGTAAACCGGATAGGTTATTGGTAGAAAGAAGAAGTACAAAAACAGGAACAAAACCGGTAAAAAAGCAGTAAATAGACGGTTTAACTAGTGACCCGGATGCAGTTTTGCTTTCAGTCGATTTGGGAGAGTAAAAATTGTAATTGATTAATTTGAATATTACAAGTATATAGAGGATAAAAGAAAAGAAAAGAAAAAGGGAAATTGCACTATAGGCCCTAACAATTAACAAAGACTACAAGGTGGTCCCTAACAAAGATTAATATATATTTCAACTCTCCCCCTTAAGTTGGTGCATAGATATCTCGCATGCCCAACTTGGATGTGATTGTATAGAATG